TCTGCAGTATCTGATACAAATCTGTAAAAAAATAAGCATTTTTATCTGCAGTAGCAGATACAAATCTGTAAAAAAATAAGCAATCTTATAATTCATACTACCTAATGTATCACAGTACACAACTATATTGACTAGAGAAAAACAAACTCTGTTTTACAATATAGTGGCATTTTAATCTTAATCTAGAACTTCATGACTCTTTTCTGCAGCTTCAAAATAAAAAAAAAAGAAAGTAATTGATAGTAAATTTGAAAAGATTCCAGAGAACTTTGCTAATATTCCTAGCGTTTTTATTCGGAATTTCCTTTTGATAAAAATGTTGTATATGTATAAGTACCCTGCCACGTCCGGTCTGTGTTTTTGTTAGATGTATTTCTGCTGTGTATCGATCTAATGAGTTAAGCCCTTGTCAACTGATTTTTGTATATTAATACATGTTTATGTTACAAATGCTAAGGTTTATGGTCGATATCCTTGAAAAAAAAACTATTTATTGCATGTGTGGCAGTTTTAAAAGGGAACCTATTCATCATAATTAGCAAAAAACTTTTATATTTGACTTTTACCTGATCCTATTGGGATTAGTTCTCTTTTCAAAAGCCAGTATTGTTTTGGCAAGGTTGGTGAGGTTCCCCTATCAGCTTTTGCCTCACTGTCAGCAGGATGTTCTTTTAATCTACACTTTGTTGAACTGTCCTGCCAATAAATCCCCAAAAAGTCTACCATGGACATATTGACAAGTTTACAACAGCACGATCAAAAGAAAAAATGCATCTTCTATATCAAATTAAATGTCCTTCTTGAAAGTTTCTTTAAGAGGCATCAGTGCTGTGATGAAAGTTAAGGTGGGTGGTTGTGTCCTTTGTACAAAGATAAACCTTGTCTAAAAGATTAAATGTATAGTGCTTGGATTGTCCGCAACAGCTTCCAAGATGTGAAAAATTGCACCGAATAGAGACGTCTGCGTTTCCATCACTGGAAGCTGTCATCTTGCCACCAAAAGATTTCCACTAAGGGAGACAATTCAACCACAAAAAAAAATCGAGGCTACCTTTGGATAACTTAATGTTATATTTTATAAATAAGAAAGAAAAAAAAAACTAATAGTTAGCCGAAACTATGAGAATTATTGTCATTTATGGATATCTTGGGAGCATTTTTCAACAACATTTCATTATTTGCCAAGCTAATGTTGTTTACTTGTCTTAGAACTGATATGTACCTTTCAAAATATAATAAAAGTAAAAAATAAAAAATATGATCTTAAAAGAAAACTGCTATTGAGTACAGGTACTATATGCAAGTTATGTATTACATCTGTTGCACACACCTTTCTGGCAATCTGCCAAAAGGTTAACAATTCTCAAAAAGTATTTGTTTTAGTTATTAAATGAAGTTCTTTGTAAAATATAATAAAAGGAATATTTTATTTCAGAGATGTATCATTAATCTAGACCTGTAAAAAGAATCTAAATATGGTTTTTTTTTGTCGCCATTTTTTTAAAATAATGCACTAATATGCAAATAAGGCTGTTAATGAAAAATAGTGCAAATTAATGAAAAAAAAAAATGTATATTAACTCCTGAATACCCAAGGTTTTTGGAAATATATATAATTTTGTCAAGTATTAATAAGCAATTTGGACAAATTTTGGGATTTTGCAAGGTTTTACGGCGGACTGACTCTTAAGTGTGATAAAGTAACAGTCGATATCAATCGTAATGAGTCCCCCTTTACCCTTATCTGATATTAGAGTTGATCGTTTTACTTTATAATGTTTTCCGTTCTAAATGAAGTTAAACATTTCTCTTTTTAAACTACAAATATACGTTTTGTTTATGACTGTCATACTTGCTTCGTATGTAAATCGTGGAATTATAGGTGATGTGATTATTACAATTTTACTGATAATAATAAGATGTCTTTTTTTGCTTTTCCAAACTTATTTTCCAATTTTTATTTTTCACATTCTGTTTTATTTATACTAAATACCAAGTCTAATACTGTAACGACTTTGTTGGTGAAATTTATATTATCTTCTTTATCTTTTGGTTTTTTTTTTTAGTTTTACAGATGGGTGCAGTCCCAACCTGTCCAAAAGTTAACTTGAAGCAGACTTTTTGACTACTTTCCAAGTTAACTTGATAAATTTTAAGCAGACATCAAGTTAACTTCGTCGTTGGTAGATCAGACCTAGGTCTGCTTTTTGTAGGACGGCTGCAGACCTTTTGACAAGTCTGCTATGGACCAGTCCTGAGGACAGGTCTGCTACTGACCAGACCTCAGGACAGGTCTGCTTATGACAGATTATCGTATTTAATACTTTTCATATTAGACCTTAGCTTTTATTATGTAAACAAAAATCTTATTGTTCTTTTTCCCCAGTATAGCAAATAACTATACTCGTTAGTGACTCTGTGTACATATTACATGTATTAAACACATTAAAAATTTCTTGTTTCATTTCATATTCTTATATACATTAAATAATGGCTACACAACTTCACACTTGTTGATCGACAAATATACATGCAGCTATCATAAAAAAGGAAAGTTTTTTTTTAATTGGAAGGCGGAAAAAAAGGTTATCCAACGCATCGGAAAAATATTTGTATATGATGAGATATAAACATCATTGTTTACGTTGCTTCGTTTCCCATTTTTTTTACAATTTCTTCCCAAATAAAACTCTATGCATCACATGGATTATTCATCGTAATTCACCTTGTTTGCCTTGGATTTACGATTCTGTTTTTCACAAAATGTTCAAACGAAAATTGTGCATTGTCCGGATATACACGGTGTTGTATAGTTATGAACCATCTCGTCAATTTCGGCAGATTCATCTTTACTGATTATAAATGATATCTAGGACGTCCGAAAAAATATACTCGTTCTGAACTTGAATAAAATATTTGCCCTTGGACGTCTACCTACCAACAAAATCCACCAACTAACATAATATACTAACAATCAGTCAGTATACTACTCCCAGATGAAAACTTCTCATACTTTTCATTATAAAGTACAAATATAATCAGTCATGTCAGTGTTGAATGATGCAGTCAAATAGTTTTGTTATACAAACCATTCTGAATTACTGACTTAAGTGACGGTTAAATATTATGAATACGAAGAGGAAATGCTGGCACTTTAAATTCATGTGGATAGTATTTTGTTTTCATCATGGCCATTGTGTACCAATATTGCTGTCATTTGTTTTGTACAATCCACCATGAGTTAACAAAATTATGATGTATGATGCGGCTATAAATTTGTTTTACCATGTTTATTATAAATTACGAATATGGTCAGTGTTAATTGATGCTGTCAAATATTTTTGTTATACGAGCCAGCCTGAGATATTAACTGTACTGATTTTTTGTGACGCGTCAATTTTTTGAATGAAAAGCGGATACGCTGGCATTCTAAATTGATGCGTACAAAATTTTATAGTCTATGTGTTCCAATATAGCTGTCATTTTCATTATACAATCTATCCTGACATAAAAAAAACATTGATTTATTATGCAGCCATATCAATTTACATAATACAGTGCAAATATGGTCGGTTTTGGTTGATGCGGTCAAGTAATTTTGTGATTCAAGGCAGCCAGAGATATCAAAACAACTGATTTTTTTTATGGCGAGTCAATATTTTGAACATGTTGAATAATAAGACATGCTGGCTCTCTAAACTGATGCGGACACACTTTTGTGGTCATTGTGTTCCAATATTGCTGTCATTTGTATCATTAGTTTTATATAATCCATCCTGACATCAAAAAAAGAACACTGATTTATGATGCAGCCGTATAAATTTACATAATAAAGTGCAAATATGGTTAGTTTTGGTTGATGCTGTCAAATATTGATGTATAAGAACCAGAGGTATCAAAACTACTGAATTTTTGTTACAAGTCAATATTTTGAATAAAATGAAGACACGCTGGCACTCTAAATTGATGCGGACCAAATTTTGTAGTCATTGTGTTCCAATATTGCTGTCATTTTTATTGAACAATCAATCCTGACAAAAAAATACTGATTTATTATGCGGCTATATAAATTTACATAAAGTGTAAATATGGTTAGTTTTGGTTGTTGCCGTCAACTAATTTTGTTATACGAGCCAGCATGAGGTATCAACACTACTGAATTTTCATTACGAGTCAATATCTTGAATAAAAAAGAAGACATGCTGGCACCCTAAATTGATGCGGACAAAATTTTGTAGTCACTGGGTTCTAATATTGCTGTCATTTGCATTATATAATCCATTCTGACATAACAAACATTACTGATTTATTATGCAGTCATATCAATTTACAAAATAAAGTACAAATGTGGTCAGTTTTGGTTAATGGAGTCAAATGATTTTGTGATACGAGGCAGCCTGAGATATCAAAACTACTGATTTTTTGAGGCGAGTCAATATTTTGAACATGTTGAATAAAAAGAGGACATGCTGACTCTTTAAATTGATGCGGACAAAATTTAGAAGTCATTGTGTTCCAATATTGCTGTCATTTGTATTATACAACCCATCCTGACATAAACAAATACTGATTTATTATACGGCCATATAAATTTACATAATAAAGTGCAAATATGGTCAGTTTTGGTTTATGATAATGTGTGATCAAGGCAGACTGATATATCAAAACTACTGATATTTCGTGGAGAGTCAATATTTTAAACATGTTGAAAAAAAGAGGACATGCTGGCACTCTAAACTGATGCGGACAATTATTTATAGTCATTGTGTTCCAATATTGCTGTCATTTTTATTACACAATCCATCCTGACATAAACAAAAAATACTGATTTATTATGTGGCCATATACATTTACATAATAAAGTGCAAATATGGTCAGTTTTTGGTTGATTCGGTCAAATAACATGGCTAATATAATTTATTGTTCTGACAGTATTGCTATATGGTGTTCTATTCTATACCTACGTACAGTATTATGAACAATTCTACTTTTTATTTCAGTATGATGCAACTCCCTTACACTTAGCTGTTAGAGGTGGACATGTCGAAATAGTTCAATTGTTATTAGAAAGAGGAGATATAGATCCAGATAGAGAAAATGAGGTACGGAATGAAGTTCATTACAGGATTGTCCGACTTTGCAAAATCATCCATCAATATCATTTACTACTAGCAAGATTTCAGTCTGACACGTTCATTTTGGTCTTATCAAGTCTTAATCGACTGAATTTACCGCAAGACAAAATCGTTAAGACTTTTTCAGACTTTCAGACGCTTTTCCGATCTAAAGTGTTCAGTCCGTTCAGTCATGTCAAGATAAACAAGACAGATTGTTCTAGGTTCGATTAAGACTTAAACAGACCACGTTCAGACCAAAGGTAAAAATGCTGTTTAGATTTTTTGAGATCGTGTGCAGTCGTGTTAAGATTTTAAATATTCGGGTGAAACACGGGCGACTAGTTATCTGTGTGTATCAGGGAGTATCCCCCCTTTATGAATAAAATCGGCATAGCTTGAAGAATGTTCTTTTGTGGTCTTTTAGTGTAATATTGTATGCCTATTTAATTAAATAACGTATGCAAATTTACAATTAATAAAGAATATTTTCGATAGCATTTTTAACATTAAATTGGTTATATAAGGACAGAATAGTTGTTATAACCCGAAAAAGTGTGTAAGTCATGATAAGAACTGTGCAGTCGTTCTTTCTGACATTTTAATAATCCTGTATCTATTAATTTCGTCTGTACAGATATAATGATTAGTAATATATCACAAAAATGTTCTTTAACAAATTTTCGCCTTTGCGATTCGATATAAACTTTAAAAATCTGCTTCAAAAAGGGCGTGATTTCTATTTATCCTTTAATGCATATTAATCTTTAATATTTTTGCCATTATGGAAAAAAGTAAAATAATAAAAAAAATCTAACTCCGAGAAATAAACTAAACGGAAGTCCCAAGGGGAAACGGCAAAATCAAAAACTAAAACACATCAATCGAATGGAAAATAACTGTTTTAGGAATTGTTTGTACGTGTACAAATTCCAAAAAGTATTATCAAACCACTTCGTCCTATCTATGAATAGTTCAAAATAATTGTTCTTAGTCATGTAAAATTTTTCAAGGAAAATATATTCTGGGTATCTGATTTACTTTTTGTTTTTAACTTTTGACAGATGTTTGCTGAAAGGTATTTTCATTTTAATAAAGGGATTATCATAGCAGTCAAACCGAAATGGATTGTCACACACCATCTTAACAATTAAAAATAACCATGGCTCACAGTGCAGCATAAAATAAATAAATGTTATTTTATTATTGTGTCACATATTGATTGTACATTATTAAATAACATAATAAAAATTTACATACTAAATGATATCATGGAAAAATACAAACAGGCATAAGTTAAGAAACGTTTGATAAAATGAAAATGTACATAATCATGTGATTCTTCGGAATTGATGCAAGAGCTATGAAATAATGTAAAGAATTGACGTGTACCAATAACCGGGAGCAGTTTATAAAATTTTCATTTCGATAAAAAAAAAATGCAAATTAAGTAAAATTAAGGAATTTGTATCATGCTGTTACATTCAAAAGTCTTTAACTGTAAGTAAATGATTGATAGAAATACATTGATTGTAGTGTATCGATCGTAAAATTAATGTCCAGTGTCAAGTATTACACATCGATGACCGCTTAGATGGTCAACTGATTCAACAGAAATTTAAAGTTAGATAAAGTTCTAATGCAGTTCATTACGCTACAATTGTAATTATTATTTATATTTTTAAACATGCATGTCGAGAACAAAGACTCGAGTGACACGAATATGCATTGATTTGGTCTAGCCAAATATGTCATGTCTACCAGAAGACATTGTTGTGAATCCAAGCCAAATTGACCAATGTTCCAACTTTACTCATAAATAATGCGTGCTTGTGGAAAAGAAGTTAATATCAATCTCAAAAGAATGCGTTTCGGTTGTTGAACAACAAATCCCCTGCACACGGGGACAGAAAGCTACCGAGACTTCCAATGCTAATTCATCAGTCATATTTATATAATCAGAATATGCATGGTGGTGTTTTCAAAAAAACTATTTTGATTGTTGAATTTAAGGAATGCTCTGATTTTACCAATCAATCTTTCTCTTTTGTTTTCGCTTGATATCATCCTGCATATCATGTACTATTGTTCGCTGAATGGTCAGCGATCAAAGCCGAGCATGTTTACGTAATGCAATGTGTAGATACAAGTATACAAACTGTTTTTAATTTATTTACATGGGAAATCATGAATCGTGTGTCGTGTTCTACCTATTATCATCTAATTTATTAGATTGACGTTAACTATTATCAATATAATTATCATTTTGCATCGACGTTACTCTATATGCGTGTTTTTGCCACTTTACTTAGAAAGATGTGCATTCCTTATTCCATTTAACACTTGTCTTAAAAAAAATCAACATATTTTATTTCATTTTTGCCATCGAAGTTCTTGATAGATATGTCTTTTATGATCTCTCAGGTAAATATCAAAAAAGAATCTAGAGTTGTGCATGTAAATGAACGGATGTGAATCAAGGATTAGGTTCTGTAATGACAACTCATTTCCGTGGATGGTTGTACAAACTTGCAATTCATCCTCAGTCTGTCTTAATTATTTACAGTTTAAGGAGCGTAATTCATCTTTTGCAAATAGATAAAGAATAAAATTTAAACCCTTTTTCGATTGCATACAGGCAGAGAGAAACATTTTTTTTTCTTTTAAATTCAAATAATTACAGAAGAGTATTAGTATTAATATTAATTTAACATGAACCTTGTTCCAATTTGAATATATGATTTGTTTTTTTTTTCCTGCACATGGTAGATAAACATTGTATTATTCAACTTTTTTTTCAGAGGTCTGAAAAATATTACGATCCCGGGAATCACACGTCTCAGTATTGAATTCTCGTAAAATTCCGAAACTTGCAGTATGGTCATATCAAAAGGATGCTGGGCTTGTCATATACCAAACAATAGACAACGCTTATATATATTGTTAGAATTAAACAAATTTGAAAGTGAAATATTACTATACATTTTATGGAACGAACCGGCTGTGGTATACAGAAAAAGAAATAACACCGAAAGTAACGAGGCTAAACCGAATTTGACGATTTTATGCTTAAAAAAACATATATTTTCCAATTAAAGGGGGAGCTTATGCCCTGTTCGCCCCCTGAATCCGTCATTGTCTAGCAATTATGACATAGTTGATCAATTTGTAGAAACATATGAAATAGAAAGTGTTTCTTATTCCTTAAACTGGGAACATTTTATGATAATTTGTGGATAATGCAAATCTTAAAACCAGTGTTTCAAAGTCAAACAAGATATGAAAAAAAAACAAATTCTGTAATTTCAGCAAAAAAAAAATAAACGTTTTTTTGAATCAGCAAATAATTGAAATCGGATTTTGATTAGTTTTGTAATCAATGGAATTTATTTAGACTAAAATATAATAAAACATGTATTCCTTTATATCTAGTATTTTGTGATCGAATTTAACGAGGTTAATATTTAAGTATGTGACAAAACAGGTACACAAATACTAGTATAAGTTGCAAATCATCCAGACTTCGTGTGGATGCGACATGTCTTTACAATTTATACAGTTAAAAAATTGTTGGAGGAGGGAGAAGTTAAGGATTGAAAAGTTAAACTTGATTTCTTTTAACTTTGTACAATAAATCAAGGTACATCTCTCTTCGATTAATTTTCCTAATTAATGAGTAAATTCATGGCTCAAGGGAAAGAGAAGCAATTAATTTATACTTAATCACCCTTTCAGTTATGATTTGTTATAAACCGACTTAAAAGTACATCAAACGGAACTCAACCAGTAGGAGATGTGGGTTATACGTCAATGTGACAGCAATCAAACGACACAAACAAAATAAGAACAGATTGAGGGTAGCATAAAGTCTTCAACAAGAAACAAGTGTCTACAAAATATGTCAAGTTCTCAATCGTCACGAATTAATATAAAATGTGTGAATACATTTAACAAAAATAATCAAAGATCTGCCATTAAAACGCACTTCTTAAAATAATGTAACATTTTAGGAGAAAGTCTGAATGTAAAAATAAAATAATAATTTATAAAGTACCAATCTTTTACTACTTTCCCTTCTTTCCTTTTACTGGTTTCCCCTTTCTTTACCCTACGAGAGAACTTTCCCATGAGTCATGGATAGAATATCGTCCGCATATTTCCCAAACTTTTATGTAAATTGAAGGCGTCATGTGTTAAAACAGGAAAAGGGTCACCCGAACCGTGCAGATAAGATGGAATATTACGATTTGATTGTTCAATAATTATAACATATTAAACAAAATCCAGCGGACAGAATATTAAAAATCGACATACTTTATATACATTAATAGTCTCTCTCTCTCTCTCTCTCTCTCTCTCTCTCTCTCTCTCTCTATATATATATATATATATATATATATATATATATATATATATATATATTTATATATATATAATACGTGTCTAAATTGAAAACAACGTTCAAACCTATGATTGCGTTGGATAAAAACCGCAATTGTTATACGTGTGCATGTAAAACAAATGTCTTGGTAGAGGGGTCTAAATACAGCAGAAACAACAATTTCCAAAAGACCAAAAAAAGTGAGAAAGTCTATTTTAACAAAACGCATTTGACTAACAGGTCGAACAACTGATGTTCTTAAACCCTGCTTACTGCTATTGGCGATTGCCAAATAAATTGATCTTACATGTTTTACATGCACACGTATAACAATTGCGGTTTTTATCCAACGCAATCATAGGTTTGAACGTCGTTTTCAATTTAGACTTGTTTATATATATAAAACGTCTGAATAATAGTCAACGATTTTTCCCACAAGGGCGCTGGATCGTTACGAGTAACGATACATGTACACAATAAATAAATTATATAAACGCCTAAAAAGTGTACACAACAACACCAATAACAAAAAAATTAAATATAAAATGTAATTATTTATAAATGTTTCGGATAACAGATATCCTTCATCAGTAAATATGACTGTGATGTTAAATGAATCATATATCAGTCTACTTAGATTAAACTATAACAATCTTGAAATGTATTATAAAAAAGTCCAACCGAACATCAGGTAAGACGCTTGCACAATTCTAAATATGTGTTAAACACGACACAGGTTATATGACTAATTACAACAGAGAGTTCAAATATATGCTTTAAATAAAAATAATAATGTGCGATATGAACTAGCACAATTCGTAAGCTTTAACGGTGACGACAGTTATGATGTTACAAGAACGATTGCGTCAATAAGAATTCCAAATAAACAGCACTGAACGATCTAAATTTGTAAATATTTCAAATTTGACAACGATAGAGTAGTTACAACAGAGTCTGCGTATTTAAACATTGCAAACAAAAAGCCGTTAAAATATAATAATAAATTTTGACTAAGGTTAACTAGTTGAACGTGGCTTGGTACTTTTACATCCCTAAAAAAAGTCAGCAATTTAAATTGGTATATTCAACAGATTTATTTTAGAGATGAGTAAGGTAAAGAAATAGAAACAGAGACTGTAATAAGAAGTAATATAACCCAAATGTGAAGCACTGTGAATATACCAATTTAAATTGCTGAATTTTTTGAGGGATGTAAAAGTACCAAGCCACGTTCAACTAGTTAACCTTAGTCAAAATATATTATTATATTTTAACGGCCGTTTCTTTGCGATGTTTAAATACGCAGACTCTGTTGTAACTACTCTACCGTTGTCAAATTTGAAATATTTACACATTTAGATCGTTCAGTGCTGTTTATTTGGAATTCTTATTGACGCAATCGTTCTTGTAACATCATAACTGTCGTCACCGTTAAAGCTTTAGAATTGTGCTAGTTCATATCGCACATTATTATTTTTATTTAAAGCATATATTTGAACTCTCTGTTGTAACTAGTCATATAACCTATGTCGTGTTTAACACATATTTAGAATTGTGCAAGCGTCTTACCTGATGTTCGGTTGGACTTTTTTTATTGTATACATTTCAAGATTGTTATAGTTTAATCTAAGTAGACTGATATATAATTCATTCAACATCACAATCATATTTACTGATGAAGGATATCTGTTATCCGAAATATTTAGAAATAATTACATTTTATAGTTCCTTTTTTTGTTATTGGTGTTGTTGTGCACACTTTTTAGGCGTTTATATATATATATATATATATATATATATATACGCCTACATAGATTGAATGTTGATTGCTGCTATTTTTAGACACTATATATAATAGTTTCATCAACATTTGAAATACTGGCCAATTACGTATACTATTCCTTACGCTAATAAATCTTGATGCCTAAAAGGTGTCATGTTTTTATTTCTTTGCAGAGAAAAACAATTTACATTAACTAAAAAAGTTTAGATTGTCAGACATGAAACTCTTATTTTAAAAAAAACTTTAATTATTAATATAACATTGCATTCTAAGTATGTCATTATTTTCATCATTTTTTAATGATGCGACCGTAATAACTTTTACCTGTATAATTATTTTGTTCAACAAAATGTTTTACATTTTAACATTTGATCTTCTCTATTGCCCTCATGCTTAATGTCATCGTCATTTGTATAATGGAAGGCAATAAACATTTTGTAATATTTACCATCTGTTTTTACTTCTTACATTGGCACACATCTAAAAAGTTTTTGTATGACGTAATAATTACGAATGTAAATTTATCGATTTGGTAACTTCAGTAGAATATACATTTAAATTGCATTCCTGCACTGGCAATGTTTTTAAAAGATATTTTAATCTGACGACAAGAATACATTTGTTTGTTTACGATTTATTCGTGATGTTAAAAATTTCCCGTACTGAATTTTATTTTTATTTTTCAACAAACTGTACCTATAACGAATTTGATGATATTTAATTGTCATTAAAATTTTAAATATAGTTGAATAAAAAAAAAAAATGCGTTGCACAATAAATCCATAATAATTAGGGGATTGTTTTCTTCTTTTAAACTTATATTGCGAGGACATTAAATTACAAAAAAAATAAAAATCTAAGGACCACGTCTCTTTTACGACAAAGCATATACAAAAGAGAAAACATATCTCCTAATGTTAATTTTTTCAATGAACTAATGCTTTATTATAAGAACATATCTTCTGAAACAGTTTTTCGCTCTGTATTTTATTTCGTAGAGCCAGAGACATGTATACTATATATTTATATAGAAAATTTTGGATTGTACGTTGCGGCCAAGGTTTTTCCTAAAGCTTTTAGTTCACAAAATCATTGTAATTTAACAAAGCATTAAACATGTGCTGACTTTGGGGTCTATATCAGGAGATTGTTTTACCTAGTATTAAGGTCTTTAAAAAAGACCTAATATTCAAGAATTAAATTGTGGCCTTTTATAATCTAAAAAGTTGAAATCTAAGGCCATAGTTTACCGAAAGAGAACCCTTTCCTTTCAACACACAATTGTTCCGAATTCAATTACAAGAACTTGTTTGGTCTTTCCTAAAATTTTCGGAGAACATGTATATTTGAAGTAACTGCGATTTTAAGGCCACGTCGCGGCGATGAATTGCTTAACGTCTAGAGGCAAATTAAATGGATATTCAGGACGAGAACATGTTAAAGTAGCATAAATATAAACCCTGCTGTGTACTAGACCGACGCGCTTAGCCGGAGTCTGAACGTGCTAGTTCACAATTTTACATTCCGGAGGAAGACATGTAACCTTACCTGAACACATTATTCTGACTTAAAATAACCCCTTAACAATAGATAAAAACAATAAAATGGCGGGTATGCGTCAGCTAACGGACAACTAACAACTTAATAAAAAAAAATAAAAATCAAATGATCAATATTTTGCATTCGTCAGCAATACGCAATTGTCATTTCAATATGTCAAGTTAACTAACGCTTCTAGTTGAAATACGTTACATATATAATAGTATATTCAAACTTGCATAAAACCGATTTTCAACAGAAAAGGAGTAGGCCCTGTAAGACCCCTTTTTGGCCCCAAAATTTAGCATTTTTACAAATTTGTTGTTATGTAAACTTTTAGCTATTTATTGGAAAATAGAATACTTATGTTCCATAAAAATGGACTGTGTGTTTTTGACAATACGATGCACATGTATTAGGTACTAGCATCATAAATTCATGTAAAATCACTGAAATCGTCACACTTTTAGCATTTGTGCTAATTTTAAGACGCATTTGTGTTCAGTCTTTATATTTAGATATATGTTGTAATTGATGATAATACATAAC